TGGCTTTTTTAACAGGTATTTTAGAACACCTATAGCACTCCCTTTATGTTTGCCTATGTCAATGATTATAAATTAATCTTTTAATATAATTTTAAGAGAAATATTTTCCCTTAAATCTACAAATAACATGTTACAACTAGCCATTGAGAAATAGTAATTATTTTTTTGTAACTTATTTCCATTGAACCATTTAAATTTTAATCATAAACATAAAACTATATCAGTATATAATTTTATATTTATTCTAACATAAGAAAAATCAAATAATTTTCTTTCATTTAAAATCAATTAAAGTTTTGTTTAATTTTTTTTAATAAGTTATTTATTACCTTGATTTTCTCATTTTCTTGACACAACAATACACTATCTCCATGTTTTGTTAAACCAGCTCTACCAGCTCGTCCAACCATCTGTCTATAAGTACTCTGTTTCATAAACTCTCTTCCAACATAGGGTGATGTTATTATAACCTGCAATTAAATTTACCTGTAATTTATTATTTATTTATATAAGAAAAGTAATAATAATTATCATTCTTTAATTATAATTAAAGAATGATCAAAAAATTTAAATAATGATATTACTCTTTGAGCTGGTAAATTAACACCAGCAGCTAAAGTTGACGTACAACAAATACATTTAATAGTACCACTTAGAAAAGCTTCTTCCAACAATTTTCGTTCAGCATTTGTTAAACCTAAATGGCAAATGTAATTACAATATACAAATATATATCATGTAGTATTTTTCATGTTCATCAATTATAACACCTTATTAGGATGTCAATACCTTAATTTTTCAAAAGACAAAACACATATTTAACTAGCTTATAAAATAGAAAATAATCCAATTAAGAAAATGACTAGTTGACAACAACTTTTGGACAAGTGCTTCAGAAGATATTAACATTTTTATATTTTGATAGGAGGAAGAGTGAGGCCGAGAAATTTCTAGTGATAAAAATAGCAACTTCTACACCTCACCTCCAGTTAATACTTTGTTAATAGCTTCTGAAATACTGGTCCAAAAATGATTATCAACTAGTTATTTTCTTAACTAGGTCTATATCTAATAAAT